CTGTGTGTGTGTGTGTGTGTGTGTGTGTGTGTGTGTGTGTGTGTGTAAATGTGATCATATGCACATCCTTTTGTCTTTTGTCCATCAGTCTCTATCTGTTTCTCTTGATATGTTCCGCTTTAAGCATTTATAGATCACAGCGTCACAGTGGTTTTATCACGTATGCATATCTGCAAAGTTCAGTGGCCAAACCAAACAAAGCAGTAATACATAAAGATACAGGCAGATGAGATGTGTTCCCGTCTAAGGTCCCAGCCATTGCTTTTTTTCTTGAATTGGGAATAAAACAATAGGTTAAAGGAAATCGTTTTTTCTTTACAGTGCAACTCTACCCCCCCCCCCTTATTTTCTGGGTTTCTGAGAGTCTGTTCTTTTGATTAATCTGAACCATGGCCCCCTACCCCCTTGTCTCTCTTTATTCCACGTGCCATTTGTGTGTCTTTGAGATCTTCCTTCCATTTTTTTCCTTAGCCTAATGTGCCTCTCTTTGTCCTCCCAGTTTGCAAGGTTTCATATTATTACAAGTATTATGGAACTGATATTTCAATGTCATTTCTTCAAGTCTCCCCCCCCCCCATTTTCCCATTGTAAGCCTTTACCTAATGATAAGAGATACATTCACTCGCCTAATTGCTCCTATCTTGTTTCGTGATCGTTATTATTACATTACTACGGGGTTGTGTCGATGGGCCTGTCGTTGCACTTGTTTTGTATGTACCTTGGTTCGGTATCCGTAAGATGGAAGGAGAGGAAAAGGTTGTGCCCTTTCGCCTTGGAACTGTGGTGATTGATTATGAACAGAGGTCATCTGGATCTTGCCCTCGTCAACATTCGCTGTTGACGTGTGCCGTCCTTATTACTTGGAGGCGTTTCTCGGGACCACTTTTTTCCTGCCAGGTGGTTGTGCGAAGCCACTGGTGTGTCCTACTCCACCACCACCCCCACCCCCCTTTTCAGCCCCGTTTCTCTGCTTTGTTCTGTCTATCTTTCGTTTTCCCAGTTCCAATTGACAGCTTGTCGATGTGCATCTCTTTTGCTCAAGCTAAAAAGTGAAACTTTTTCATTCTTTTAAAGTACCTAGGGCTGTCATCACCGTACAAATAAAACTGTTGTCTGGGTTCTAATGAATGCTGAAATAGAAAGGGAAAAAAATGAAAAGGTCGATCAATGACCTAAATAAGAGATAACTTTCTTTCAGTACTGTTTGGCCGTTTACATTTTTTGGAAATCTTCTGATCCACGGCATTTAGTGAACTGTCCGTTGTCAGATACCCACCCACCCCTCACACAGACTTTGCAAATATGAACATCAAATACGAGGCTAAGGTTTTAGAGCTACAGTGCGTACTTGCCATTTTATCTGCAATTCAAGTCAAGAAAAAAAGTTGAATCCTTTTTAAAGCGGGAAACTATCAGAACAAAACAAAATAAGACAAAAACAAAAACAAAAGATAATACAAGTGCATGATCCTGAATAAAGTGGATGGGTAGAATATTTACCTGGATCTGTCTTCCTTTCGCCTTCATATATTTTTACTCTAACCGAAAGGCCGAAACGTCGTCTGCTTTTCAGCTATCTATCGTTTTCGAGTTATTGTAGGGAAGAACTTACAGCCAGTCGAGCGACCTCAAATCCAACAAGCCACATGCGGGTACTTGGGGGATTTTGCTAATAGTAATAGAGTTTTATTTTTTTCAGCACTCTCTGTTTATCAGTCTTGTATTACCCAATAACTGAATCGCAATTTTATTACTGTCAACGAAACAGTATTAATTTTGGGCTCTGTTGGAGATTTTTCAACAGCTTGAACAGTTGTGTCAAAAATCCCCAAAGTTTTAAAAAAATCGGAGGTTTACAAGATAGCTCTAAATTCGTGAAATCTATGTTATTATGTCAATGTGCTTCTCCTTACTGAAGTGTACTAATTGATGACACATATCTCCCCAGGCATGTACCTTCTGAGCAAGTACATTAAGCAGAAGACAAACACTACTGTGATCTTGTCTGGCGAAGGATCAGACGAGTTGGCGCAGGGATACATCTACTTCCACAAGGCTCCTTCTGCTGAGGATGCCGATAAAGAAACACATCGTCTGCTTAACGACCTTTATATGTATGACGTGCTGAGAGGAGATAGGACTACTTCGGCCTGGGGGTGAGAACATCCCAACTCTAATAATATGTTTATTTGTAAATAGTAATCTAAAGTATATCAAACTTGTTTAGCTATTAGTTACCTATGCTTAAAAGGTGATCAGGTACGCTTCTCACTCTCAAAGTGTGCCACCAAAATCGATACAAAGTGCGTTTTGTTGAACTGACTTCACGAACTGTGTTTGAACTGTCTGTTATTGTTTTTGTTTGTCTAGAAAAAAATCAACCCGATCTATAGTGGGGTTTTTTTTTTGGGGGGGGGTGTGTCATGCGTCCTTTTGTTTCTTGTGCCAAACAAATATAAATAGGCCTACTTTTGCTATTGTATAGTCTGTATTTCTATCAGAAAGACTTTTGAACGGAATATTGTGGGTTACAACCTTGTTTGTGGTTGAATCCTCTCAACACAAACATTTTATTCCTTACAAAAACATGCTAATATAGTATGTTAACACTTTTATATACAAGCTTTTCAGTCAAAGTGTTACATTCTATTATGAATTACACATTATTTTGAGGGATTTTTCTCTCTGTTGATTGTTTATCTTTCTTTTCTCTATCCCGTCCCCTGAAATTATACCAGTTATCCTGTCGACGAGCTTTTTGTCATTTAACCAACTAAAGTCACGGCTGACGTAACTACTTTTGTCCTCTCACAGCTTGGAGATCCGAGTTCCATTTCTGGACCACCAGTTCACCAGCTACTATCTGTCCCTCAAACCGGAACTCCGGCAACCGATCGATGGCATCGAGAAGCATCTGCTCAGGTGAGCTCACGTTTTGGTAGAAAACCGAATTTTAAAATCTTATATGTGAGGCATCGTGGTGGAATCAGGCTCTCGTCAATTTTTGTGCATGTAGAGTTATTGGTATATTCTTAAAGCTTGTTCACTTGTCTTTATTTGGATAAAAAAAAATATCCATTTATCTTGAATGAAAGTTGAGATATTTGCGAATGAAGGAGGTGGGGTCACCTGTTTTCAGAGGTAAAATTAGTGAGAAAATGTCCGCCAAAGATTAGTTATTTCCTTAGCTTAAGAGTCCATGGTAACTGAAAATTTATATTTTTTGTGCCTTTAATGAGCGTTTTTCAGAAAAAATCCACACAAAAATGAGTTCTTTAATGGGCATGAAAGATGTTGAATCAAAAAACAAAAATTTGATAAAAATTCATTAACCTGCGAAAAAGTGGAAGTTTCTTCATTTTGATCATTTTGACGAGAGCTTGATTCCACCATGCTGCCTCACATATGATGTCTATCCTTACCGCTGAAACTTCTGTGTTTTGCAATCAGTAATCTTTTCTAAAGGTTTTGTTAAAGGTAAACGACCCGGTGACTATAAGCAGTCCACTGTAAACCATCCGGGGACGTGTTCTTAATATCTTACACTTTTGGATGTGTCACTCATACGTCTCTCGTGGTGGGGTGGAAACGATGCTCTTATCATCTTTTAATATTGACCTTTCTCCTGAATGTCCAGATGAGTTAAACTCAGATATACTCTCTCTTAATCCCTTTCGTCCAAACTTCTGTTTGTGTATTGTAAGTTTATCTAATCTAAGCAAAATGAAATAAAAAAAACAAACAAACTACAACGACAAAGCGTTCGGTCACATAACAGGACCCTTTAAGAGAGCTATTGTAAATCCATGAAAGCTGTGCAGCGGAAGAAGTATTTCGGCCGTTCACTATCTAAGCACTGCCCCTGAGACCCATAAACATTTTGCAGATCGGCGTTTGATGAGGCTGAGCTCCTTCCCAATGAAATTCTCTGGAGGCCAAAAGAGGCGTTCAGTGACGGCATTTCTTCAGTGAAGCGCTCGTGGTTTGAGATGATCCAAGACTACTGTAAAGAGCAGGTGCGTACCACGAGTTTGAATAACAAGGTAAAAAGTAAATACAACACCCCCCAAAACACAAACAAACAAACAAAAGAACACCACAACCTCCAAAAACAAACAAACACACAAACAAAAACAAGACCACAGGGATCACCTAAAAGGCAATGGGAGTTAAAGTAAGTAATTCAGTAGGTCGTACAAGGAGCAAAAAAAGTTGTATAAAAACAACTTGCAGTATTGTTCGCTGCGGGGATAATGGATTCATTTAATTCCTCGCTTTCTTTTCGTTTTACGTTTACGAAACATTGGTAAAAGTATGTCTACCTTCTCTCAACTGCCATTCCTTGTAGCGAAATAATGAAAGAACTAGGGGAAAAAAGGATCACATGCCCTATAGTTAACCGAGACAGTCCCGAAAGTCCCAGACCAGTGAGCTGGGTCATTACCGGGAAATAAAATCGGAAACTGGCGTTTCAGAGTTTTCATTTCAGTCTCGATGGATCACACCCCCCCCCTTTTTTTTATCCCTAAAAAAAAGTATGTTTAAAAAAGAGAAAAAGTCTCATTTCTCTGATTGCTACTTTCCTCTGTGATGTAAACTCTTTTAGACCGACTCACCTTTCGATGGTATTCTCAGTGACATCAGTATCATGGCTCTATCGCAAATGATGTGGTGCCATTTGAGACGTTTCTTTTTTCTTTTTTTTTTTGAATTACAGTTGAGACATCATTAGCAAAGTAAGAAATTACATAGAAGCTTTAATAGAGTATATATTTGTGCGTTGACATATTAAGATAAAATACCATTGATTGATAGAAGGGGAGAAGGGAATAGGAGAGGAGAGGACGGGGGGGGGGGGGGGG